ATAATTGCATTTTAGTTTTAATGTTATTAGATTAAAATGCAATAAAAATTTTAATTTTTGTCAATACATTCTCAGAAGCTGATTTCCAAATATGGGTCATTTGACAAATTAAAATCGAGTTACGAACATATATGATCCGTAACGTGATTTTAATAGCAAACCGCCCATATACCTGGGACATTAATACTTACAACTTAAATTAAAACGGATCGAAAGATTTTTTATTTTTATGAAGTTTATCTAGACAAAAAATGGACTTTAAATACATCTCAAGCTCACTGAAACTATATTAGGATTTGTTCATTTTGAATTTTCCATTGATCACCAGATATGAATAAAAAACCGAAAATTTAAATTTTGCTATTTTCCCCTTTTTCCCATAAGGGAGGTAAGCACGTTACGGATCATATGATTTATTTACTATGTTCGTAACTCGATTTTAATAGCAATCTTCCATATATTGAATTTATTACAGTTCGCGCAGTATAATTAAAATTCGTGTTACAATGAAAAAAGTAATACCGCTGTTGATCTCAAAAAATTCAATTTGATGATTCATCGCCTTTTTTAATTATAAAGATAATAGGTATTTCGTAATGAACAATGATTAAAGTAAATCGTGTATCAGGCAAATTTTTATTATACAATATTTATTAATGTCATATGGCTAGATGATTTTTAATCAGGATTATCAATCTGCCTGTGTAACAAAAAAACCTTTTTAATTGACCAGCTTTTTCTAATTTAGCTTGTCAGATCCTTTTTTTTGTAACCAAAAAAAAGCGGGCTTAAGCCTGATTGGTTGATTTTCAAATATTAATGTATAAAAAAAAAGATCATCTATCTTTGAATGAAATCGCAAAAGGTTGTGATAAAAAAATTTTTAAAGTATTAAAGTAATTTGGTAAAAAGCAAGGTAATTCAGAACTTATCTAATAAGGGTTTCTTCGCAATATGTTATTTTATATGTATATATATATAGAGAGAAGAAAAAAGATTGAGATTTGGAATTATAATTTAAAATATATATGGATATATATTTTTTAACACTTATTTATTTGCACAGAAAGAAGGAGTAATATGTATTTAAGGCTATTTGTGTTTTAAAATGTTATATAATTTGATTTTTAACTAATATATTTATAAATAACTTAGAAGTTTTCTTATTTTACTAATATATAAATAAAAGATAAGATAGGACTATTTCTAATAAATAATAAATAATGTATAACTATTCTATTATGTTTTAACTTTATTGTATAATTTTATTTAAAATTTTGAACCAAATACTAATAATGAATTGTAATTTAGATAAATATTTAAAGGAAAAATGTATTTGTAACATTCTGTTACATGTCTTATTTATAACACCCTTTTTTATTATTCTTAATAATAAATTATTTTATTAAATATTTTATGAATAAGATTTTTAAATACAAAATTTAATTTAGAAAACTATTTACTTAATGTGTTAAAAACAGTTTTATAGACAAAATTTTCAGTTACAAATAGTTTTTTGAAATTTTTTAAAAAAATTCTTATTTTCATTACACAACTGGTCTTTTGTTTTAATTTGCTAAATTATTGACATTACACCTGATCTTAAATTTTGATTGAATAAAATTTTTGGTGTTATAAATAAGATATGTAATAGAATGTTACAATTAGATTTATTCTTAATTTTTTTATTTTATTAATTTTTTTTATTTAGTATATTATTTTTGATTTTGCAATATATTATCTCTTAATTAAATAATATAATTATAATTTAGTAATAAAATAAAGTTTATTAAATTTGTTATATCTAATAATAGTATTTTTAAAATTTTTAAAATTAATAATTATTTATATATAACAATATTTTTATTTTTAAAATAACTTATTTTTTAATAATCATAAAAAAAAAATAAAATTTAATTTGTTAGATAAAACCTATTTTTTTATATTTTTAATATTAATAGATAATATAATATATAAATTTAAATTTTAACTTTTTTTTAATAATTAGTTTAGAATAAAGTGTAAGACTATATATGACGAAAAAATGTTACAGTATTTACTTACTCAATAATTAAGTTAATAATAATTAGCTTTTGTAATTGTATAAAATTCAAATATCAGTATAAATTTTTTAGTTAAGATTATTTTAGACTTAACAATGATTTCTATTTTCTTAGTTTATAATATATTTATTTTTTTTTTTTAATCATTATATATATTTTTATTATAAAATTATTATAATATAAATTTTATATAATATTTAAGAATGTAATTAAAATAATTAACTATTTGTATTATATAATTATTTTTTGCTTAAATAATATACAGTTAGACTTTATACAGTTATCCAATTAATTTTACAAAATTGGTAATTTACAGAAATGTGATTATAATAATGAAACCTCTGCATAATCATTACTATATTAAATTATATGTAATAACTATTTAGAGATTTATAATTCAGCTAAAGATTTTATTTTTAGGATTTTTAGTAGATATAATTTAATTAAACTTAATTTAGCTTATTTAAATCAATACAGCTTATTTAGCTTGATCAATAATACTTTATTTAAAAATTAAGTTTTATTAAAAAAATAATTATATTATATATTAGTTCTTACTCTTAAAACTTTTTACACAGGATCAAATCACGTTTTTTCATTTAACGATCCCGGAGCGACAGAAAGTGCACATCATTTTATCGGATGGCTTCAAGGTTCCTATCCCGGAATTAGAGCATTTGTGTTCCATACTGCATACGCGACAGTATTATACTGATTGAGAAGCCATGTATTGGTTGTGGAGTAATAGGTCGTTATTTGCGTAGTTATTTGCATAGTTATGTGCTTGTTTTATATTTACTAAATTTTGTAATAATAATATATTCATAATAACTCGAAAAAATAAAATGTGCTTTGTGCTCTTTGTGTTATTCCAGTATCAGATTCTTTTGGAATTACTTGTTTTCAAGATTTTTTTTAATTTTATATATGAAGTCTTTGACGATAAAATTCCTCAAAACACGTGGAATGCAGAATCTGAGATATCTTCGTTTTGTCTTAGTAGAACAACTCTTGACGGTTATGATTAAAAAATCCGTCAAATCAGCAATATCAAGTAGGTCGCAAATTGTTTGTTGAGCTCATATGAACCATTAGATTTTTTTTGGGGGAAGAAACGATAGCCCTTGTAGATTAACGGTAGGCTTTGATTGAAATTGAAAAAGGTGAAAACTGAGTTCCTAATGATTCCAAAGACTCACTTTTAGTAATAGCTGTACGTAACTATCGATTTGTTTGAGCTTTGTTGAAAATTTACTTGAAAATATGGTAGTTACAGTTTTTATCGTAATATGGACGTTTGAACTTCTACGTTGCTTTTTTAAAATCACGTAAAAGTGTCATTTTACATAAATCAAATTTTTATTTATAAAAAAAATTAAAAAAGACTTTATAATCAAAAAATTGGAATGATTCATGGCTTATATTTTCACTTTAAGAATATATTCATATTTTAATTTTTAAATTACGATTTTAAAAAATTACTAAATTCAAGTTCATACATTTTAAAATTATTTAAATAAATTCCAATCAATTGAACTTGAAATTTATCTTAATTTTATTTAGCTATTCTTTTTTTCAATAATATTAGAAATATTATTATCTTCTAATCTTCTAATTCTATAAAAGGATAGAAGTTATTCGACCGACCTTTTTTAAATTTTTCAAATTTCGAAAGATAATCTTTAAATCTATTAACAAAAACTTTAGCTGCTTCAAGCTTTTGGTCTTTTAGATGAGAATAACAAAATTTAATAGAACTAAACACACTATACACAACTGATGGATTTGGTGCAGGATAAACACATACCTTTTGAACAGCATTACTAAAGTAATAATTATTATAAACATCATCATCATTACTAAAATAAAAATGAATCTTATTTAAGGCAGTATGAAAAAAATAACAGGAATCTTCCAACTTTTCACGTGTTTCTTTTGAAATTCTTATAAATTTGCTATCAATTTCATATTTGAAATAATCATTTAAAATAAGTTTTGAAGATTCTTTGAAAGGGATTGGTAAACGATATTGATCTGCGAGTATAAAAGAGGTAAGGACATTATCAACAACGTTGTTTTGAAGAAAGAAGTCACAAGCATCCGACAATTTGTTGATCACGAATTTATCAGCGATTCGAAGCAAATTTTCAACATTTTTCCAATTAATATGCAATATTGTATTGGGATAAATAAATGACAGCATATCTTGAAATGAAGTGACATCCTCAACAATCTCGAGAATATGAATTGAGCCTTCACTTTCATTAACGGTTGTATTTTTAATTATTTCATTTGAATTAGGTGTTGCAAGAGTAAATAAATCATTAAAAAATTTCGAAGCAAGTGAAAGGATAGGTTTATGTACAAGAAAATGTGTATTCTCTACTTTAAGGATTATATCTCCATCTTTTGTATAATCATGGATGGGATGTTTTTCCGCCATCTTAAAATCGATGGTAAGGATAAAATAAAAAAAAAAAAAATTATTTTCGTTCAGCTTAAAATATGATAATTAGCCAATTGTTTCCCAATAAAGGTAAAATTTTACCGATGATGGTACGATTTTAATGGTCACGTGTGACGTGTTGGAAAATAATGACTTCATTTTTATTATAAATTGTAAATGACATTATTATTTTTCCATCAATGTTGAAAAAATGAGACCTTAGTTTAATGAAGTTAATTACTTATGGAACAAACATCTGCCAATAAATTATCAGCGATTATTAGCGTTAGTAATTTAAACAATTTTATAACACCATTGTATTATTCAATTTTTAGTCATTTATTTTTATCTTTATTAAATAATACCGATGAATTCTGAAGTTTTTTAAAAAAAATAAAACCTTTTATTAAAGTTATAAATAAATCCATCTTCCTTGTATAAAACTTTTTAGTATTTATTTAATGACGCACTGTGTAATGGAAAGGTCGCTACTACTCATCTTCTAACTCAACAAAAGAATAGAAATTCATATCCAATTCTCTTTTATTTGACCTCTCAAATTTCATAAGATATTCTTTAAAACTTTTATAAAAAGCTTTATTTTCAGCTTCTTTATCACTAAAATTGATGTTAAAAGAATTTAACTCATTATATACAAATGATGGTTTTCGTGTAGGATAAACGCACACCGTTTGAATCTTATTATATCCCTTACTACCCAATCGCCAAGAAAGTTTATCCAAGAAAGTATGATAGACAAAACGACTATAACCCAACCTATCTCGTGCTCTTTTTGGAATTTGAATGTATTCGCTATCACATTCATATTTGAGAAAATCATTTAAAATAAGCTTTGACGCTTCTTTAAAAGGGATTGGTAAGCGATATAGTTCCGCAAGTTTAAAAGTGGTAAGAATATTCTCAATCAAGTTGTTTTGAAGAAATAAGTCACAAGAATTTGTAAGCTTTTTAATTTTGAATTTATTAGCTATTCGAAACAAATTCTCAACATTTTCCCAATTGATATCCAATATGACGTTTGGATAAATAAATGACAGCATATCTTGAATTGAATTGGCATTCTCTTCCATAATCTCGAGAACAAGAATTGAGGCTTCACTTTCATTAGCGTTTGTATTTTTAACCGTCTCATTTGAATTAGGTTTTGATTGAGCAAATAAGTCTTTAAAAAATTGCGAGGCGAGTGAAAGGAAAGGTTTGTGTACTAGAAAATGAGTACCCTCGGCTTGAAGGACGACATCTCCATCTTCGTAATAATGGATAGGATTTTTTTTCATCACCATAATGTACGGTAAAGTAAATAAATGATCTAGAAAAATATTTATATATTATTAGTTCCTGAATGGTACGTCTGACAAGTTACGCCGATACATGTGACGCACATGTCAATCATCCCCGGTGGAAGCATGATCAATTGAAAGTTTGATATAGAAATATTCCTTGTCGTGAATATTTTTTTCGTTATTTTTTTACCCACATACTCTCTTCTCAAACAAACGATTATTTTCTTCAATATGACTTCTCTTTTTTATAAAAGTATTTAAATAAATGTCCTATTTGTAATTTTTTGAGTTATACATCCTAAATTGTGACTCGTGCAACGCAATTTCTATGCAGAAGGGCTGAAAATTGCTTATCAAAATACAATACTGATAAGAGCAGGTTAATCGAGATGCTGCGGCGGAAACGAATTTTTTTTTTTTTTTAATCATTTTATTCTATTTATTTACGGAGACAATTTAATTATTTTGCTATGGGAGGTGACGAATTATTTTCATTTTTAATTACTAAGGAGGCGGCGAATTTAATTTTTTTAAAATTATTGGGCCGGTGCAAAAAGGTCGTTCCTCGCCCAAAAAGGAAACGATTTACAGAAAAACACAGTACGACTAAAATAGAGGTGGGCTGAACATTTTCACTATGGTTTTTTTTACCCTATTATCATCTCTTGACCGAACCGAAAATCAATTATAATCCGACACGAATAAATTTAACTTAGGAAAAAAAAAAATTAAAGACCCATGGGCAAGCGATTTTTCCTTAAGCGTAGGAACTGCATAATTTCCATAAGGGGAACGACCATGGAATTAGTCCATTTTAGCAGGTACTCTTGTAATCAATTTTGATGCAACACGTACAAATTGTTGGGGTCGTTATAAAGATATTAAAAAAAATAATTTGAAAGTTTGATAAAAAATTTGAAAAAGAAATATTGAGATCATATATAAAGGTTTGGTAAAAAAAAAAAAATTAGACATTGATCGTGGGTATATAGATACTTCGTACAAACAAAAGATCATGATTAGTTCGGGCTTTTAAAAAGCAAAGTTAAAGTTTGTAAAGATTTTGACGTTGCAACGTTGCACATAATGCAATAAAAAAGTTATTGAGAAATAAAAAAAAAGGTGAATTATCGAGGTATATATAGGATTTTGACGCTTCACTTCATAAAAAATAAAGATATGTTTGTTATGAAAGCAAAGTTATTTAGATAAATTAATAAATTAGAAAATTTTGGTAAAAATTTTGACTTTACACGTAGTGCAATAAAAAAAAAAAAATAATTGTCACATCGATGCATTAAACTCGAATCACGAATACTGAAAACATACCCATCGTTTATAAAACATACACACATTAAGCGAATGGCATGATCTAACGTGATATAAATTTAATATTATAAATAAAATTTTTAAGAAAAAAATTCGTCGCAACCGAAGTACTGTATGTGTATATTTCGATATCAAAAAGAGAAAATTTCCTATATCTTGAATCAAAATAAATTTTTTTTTCAGCTGTAAGGCGAATAATTACATGATAATTATATTTTATTCGGCATTCCGTGCTAATTGACCGTGGAGTACTGGATAATTACACCGTAATTTCACGGATAATCGTCGATAACAAAAAAAATTCACTGTCCTCTTGAATTAAATACCCGGAGCACAAATAAGATAAATCGTTCATAACTCAATCTATCTATTTGTACTATTTTTATTGTATTACAATCATTGGCTGATTTGTAAATTAAAATAAGTTACTAAGAAAAAAAAATTTTTTCTAATGACAAAATTAAAATAAGTGATCACGTGGTTTGATCTTACGTGTACTTTGTATATAAATTAATTTTTTTTTTTTTTTTCCCAACATTGGTAAACCTTCAAAACTCTCACGTAAAAATGATAAAACACAAGGAAGAAAATTATCCTATACAAAAAAATATAATAAAAAAAGAAAGAAATCGGTGACTTACAAGTTAAAAAGTTCATCAATGAAGCCGGAAAAAATGTTATTGACGAATTTACCAAATCTATTAAAGTGGACCAAAATATACTGTATACTGAACAAACAAAAAATCTCGAAAAAAGAAATATATGAAACTTTATACATCCACACCCACAACCGTTTCACTTCCACAACCGTCTCAACCATCCAGTATTGGCCACCTTTATAAGTTTATTTTGACTGGACTTGGACTATAAATCCGGTGGTCTAATTGGCCAACATTGCAACCTTCACAATCTTACAACCATCACAACCGACACCCTCGCATTTTCAAAGTTTGGATGAATATTTCAAATACGAGAATGCACAAAAAGCCAAAGGTAATTTTTTATTTTTATTTTTTATTTTGTTATTCTTTTTTTTTTTTTGATAGAATTTTTATTCATGTAAAGCTCGTTTTTAGAAAATCAACAAAGAATGATTGATGTGAACCGTAACTATTGAGTTGATTCAATCAATCACGTACAAAAGCGAAAGAAATTTAGTATCAAAATTTCTTTCGCTTTTGTACGTGATTGATTTAAGGTTGCGGGGGCAAAACCTAATTTCTATTTTGACAAAAGTCGAAACCTTTTGATTTCGATGGGTTTCGACGACGGGGTTTCGACGGTTTTCGACGGTTTCGATTTCGATGTTTATCGAAATCTACAGGTTTTGCCCGGTAATCTTATTTTATATGCTGGTTATTTTATAGTAAATACATTTTATCTTGATGATAAATAGTATCAATAATACAAATTAAATAAAAAAATTAAATTAAAGACCAAATCGAAATTAAATGAAATCAAAGGTCAAATTAATATGAAGATCTGAAAATTATATCAAAAATAAATCAAAGGTTTAAGCGAAACGTTTAAGCTCAAATGAAAGTAAACTAAAAGCCTAACGAATCCAAATATACAAAATATCAATGTTAATAATCCAAGAATAAAGGGTAAACATAAATGATCTGATGAATATTCAAGAATAAATATTCAATGAAATTAAATATAAGAATTGAATAAATCGATGTTAATAAATAATCAAATAAAAGATAAAATAATTTAACATAAAAGCTACTACCGCGCAAACACAAAATTACCTCAAGTAAAGTCCGTCAATTCCAAATCGAACTTCTTAAAAGAAAATTTAATAAAACAAAAAGGGATCATGCTTGTGACGTTATTAGACTATTACTAAATAATAAAGTTTCTGATTTATCACGATTTCATGCGTCAAATCGGTGCTAAATTAAAAATTTTTCAAAACTGGTCAAATTTCTGAAATTAATTTTATTAAACCTTTAAACCTTTTAATTCTAGGTGACATCACTATTTATTTCAGTATTTATTATATTTAATTTTATATTTTATATTAATATCGAAGCATTTATTAATTTCTAGTTAAATTTACTGAAGACAATACTTTTACCATATACTTTTTATGAACATTGGATTAATTCGCAATTCATGAAACAGAGAGTAATAATAAATCTCTAACTGAATCTAAACATGAATAACTGACCCAAAACTAGTTTCTGTTGGGCTTGAGCTTTAAATGAGAGAAGAATTTTTTGGTGGTATTCATTGTATTAAGCAAAGAGCGACGGCTTATTATGTTGGATACAGACGCTCCCTACCTGCCTCTAAAAAAGAAGTGACCTTTTCGAAGAGTTGGTCTCTTTTACGGCCCTTCGTCGAGGAAGAAATGGTCACATTTTATTTATTAACCTTTGTCATTAATGGTTTTTATATTTCATTGTTAAGTTCTTATTCATTTTTTTCTCTTTCTGATACTTCCTCTAACATTCCTTCATTATATTCACAGGTCTGAAATGACTGAAGAGAAAGAGAGAAGTTATTCATACCATCATCCAACAACTACTATTCGACGTTTAGGAAGAGGTAGTGTTTAGCTTGCACCTAGACGTTGTCATTCGGTGAAGCATTATATATAGGGCTTCTTGGTCATGAGGTAGTAGGCGCGGTCATTGGTAAAGTTACATATAAGACTTCTTGGCTTAATGTAGCTTAAACCAGACTGTATTATGCGGAGTTAAACAATGTACTCTAATTTGAAGGATAGGGCACCGCATACGAGACTTCCTACTGGATGCCTAGTATAAAATGTATGTAATTGTATGGGTCTCCTATTAATTGCATAGCATAAAATTTATTGTAATTTGAATTCGGGTGGTAGCGTTCTATTTAGTAGAAATATTAAGGTTGTTTTTTATCATTTTTGTTATAGGCACTTTTTTAGGAAAAACAAAATTCGAAGAGCTAACTTAGTGGTAGATTTAAAAAAAAATAAAAAAAAAAAAATGATGGTTAAAGTGGTCGTCGATTAAAGTGTCGTAAAAATTGTGAAAATTTAAAATTTAAAAGTTTTTTTTTTATCATTTGAAATAAATGTCATTTAATTAAATTAAAATATGCGAATTTATAAATGGACATGAAAGAAAAAAATATATAAGATAAAAATAAAAAAGTACTTGTAATTAAATAATTTTAAAGTGAAAATTTTATTTTTCGAATTATTTATTACATTTATTATGAGTTATTATTATATATAATATTTTTTAAAGTAAAGAATTTATCTTTGGTTAAGATCACGTGAATGTAATAAATGATCGATCAAATGATTTGTACTAGACCTCAACTGTACATATCACGTGATAAGTAGTTTAAAAAAATTTATTTATACATGGGGTCTAGGATAATAACCTAAACCTGCCCTTTAAGTTTACCATTTTTTGTACTGTTTTTCACGCGACAAATGATAACAATTCTCGATAAGGCTAAAAACGATAATTATTTAGTTTAATAAACTTAAAACCAGCGAAGAAGCGAACAAAGATGAGATAGTATTAAATTCATATTTGATTTTTGTAATTTATTTTCCTTCCTATATAGGAGTCCGACGGTGTTATTAGCATCCACTTTGTGCTTATCAATATGATGATGCTTTGAGAAAAGAGTCGATCGTAGCTAGTTAGTTTCTTTGGTAAAGGTATTGAAACATCGCTTTCATTGGAAAAAGGGATAAATTTATCAATCATATAGGTAACGACAGATGACTCAGGAGTTGATGATAATTTGTAAAGCGTAACAAGTCGTATATAAACCATATCAACATTCAATTGATTAAAATAATATTAAACAATTCATTCAGGTCAGCCTTCGTTTATTAACGAAAGGAAGTCTCTGATACAACCTTACAAAGAACAAACAGAGGTATTATTTTGATTCTTTCTTGATATATACGTACTTGTCATATACAGTGAGAAACTAAAATTTATTTCACCATTTTACTACAAATAACAACTCCCATCAAAGAAGTAGTGAACAAACGGTACTTCTACGGATCTGACAATATGGAATTTAGGATTGAATCAAACAATTGAGGAAGATACCTGCATGGTGCTAGGTGTCGGTCAAGAAAGTCTTTGGTATGCTACGAGTTGCAAGACAATTAATGGCAAAAGGATTACCCTTCGTAAATTCAATTATTATTATGCTTCGATTTACGGTTTGTAAGAATGGCACTTATTCATTTGCTGATGTTAGTACATTTGCGATAGTACTTTAAAATCAAGAAAGAGGGGTGAATGCATGAGAGGAATTATAGAAACCCAATATTCCATTGAAACAATGGAGTGGAGGAACTTTTCGATAAATTCATGAATGATCGAAATTTATCTATTGAGAATCTTCCAAAGAATTTCTTTAATTGAGAATCATTTCTTATGAAGATGCTTCTGAGACGAATACAATCATGAGAAATATTCTGGAAGTGATTCACATAATCAGAGAGTGTTGATTTGGTTCCTTGATTATCAAAAAGAAATGGTAAAAGACTTTTTTTTTAAAAAAAAAAAAAAAATTTCAAAATTTAAATAAAATATTTACTTTTCTTCTTTAGGCGATATTTGACCAGCTCTCTTTTACGTTGGATTGTTTAGAAAGGCATGTAAGTTTTTTTTTTTTAATTAAATTTATCATTTCTATTTTGTATTTCAGGCAGCATTTCAATTATTCGCTAGTTTATAAATACTCTATCAATTTTTTTTATAGAAAAACCATATTAATAAATTTATCGAAGCATTTATTTAACATGGTAAAATAAACAAATCTGTTAGTTTTGATACAGTCTTAAAAAGAAATTTTGGAAACTGATATGGCCCAACAACTAAAAAAGCCAATGAACCGAAGCTACAAAATTTTGTAACTCCTCTAGAAGAAAGATAACGAGGCGTTGAAAAAACTTAATAAGAACTTACATGAACTCAGCAATGTTCTGAAACCGGCTACAAAGATTTTGATGGAATTTCAAACCAAATTTAAATTTCTGGATATTTACATCCACATTATCATGTAACCGTCTGGTAAGTATCTCATTATTTTTATTTTATTAGAAAAAAAAAGAAAGAGGAAGAGAATGAGTAAAATAGAATAAATAATGAAAAAAAAAACTAAGAATGTAAGCAATATATACTACAGTGATGTTTATGCTGACTTGTAACCTATTTTTTTTTTCAATATTAAAGATCCTGATGAATCCACCTGAAAGGCTGAAGAAGATCTCTGATTTCATGGAAAATAAAATTAGCTTTTGAGAAGTCTCTGTCATCAGGAAATGTATCCCCTTGTTGGTGGTCGTGGTTACGATAGCATATATATCAGTCTTGCTGGTATAGATAGTGAAATAAAAGGTGGAAAAAATTGACGATAAATATTAATCCAAAAAATTGTCATCCACCACAATTATTAAAGAAAAAATATATATTGGTTGTGATGCATTTATTTATCTATATTTTTAATATTTTATTATTATTATCAGAAAAAATTTTCCGCAAATATCAATTAAAATATCAATTCTCGATTTTACATAACGGATCAAAATCAAGGAAATTAATTCTATTGATTTTATCCGTAGTAAGTTTTCGGTCAAGATCTTTTTGTAGTGAAAAACGAAAATATAAATAAGTAATTTCGAACGAATCACGTCTCTAAAAAGATTTCCGGTAAAACTGTGTAATGATAATTACAAGACCTTTAATGACATTTTATAGAACAACATCTAATTCTAAATGCATTGTAAACTTGATGCAATATTCAGGATGAACGTATTAATTGTACAGTACATGATGATGATTTATCTAACGGTTAATAAACTACAGAATATCGATAATATATATCATTAAGAACATGACTTTATTATTTTAATGAACGTGCCCGTTTCTTCTGTTTAGTAATTGAAGAAAGTCGAACACACTAAATAATTTGAATCATTATAGAAACAGTCTTCATTGGTATAAATAATTCGGTAAATGCGGTACATCTTAATTTCTTGGATTATTTTATATAGTCATAACTTTTGCATATAAATAAAATATTATGTGATGCTTTACAAGATTTGGTTCTGATCTACGTATTTTATTGGAGAATATATACATGAACAAAAAATTATGGATGTGTTTACGACATAGAAAATTATATACATAATGAATTTCGTTGCAAAATCCGTGATCATCAAAAACGCGATGAAACTTTTCTTTTTTTTTTTTAGATAGTTAATGCCTTCTATACCATATTACTTGCTTTCTAAAAGAAATTCTTTGATTTTTGATGTTATTTGCTTAAAGGCTTCGATTATATGGGACCTTTGCAATAGAAAAGAGAGAAACGGATGGAAAACAAATAAAAAATGAGTTAATGTTAAATCTGACCTAAAAATCATATTTGCCATATAAAAGTAAAATTGATTTTTTCGGCAGTTTCCACTTTCTATTGCAAAGGTTCCATATTATAATATATCTTTTTAAATAGATGTACATTAATTTCTTAAATGTATATAAAGTATATTTTAACATTTAAAAATATTAATAAATCAAATGTTGATAAAGCAATAAAATTAAAAAAAAAAAAAAAATTGCGTAAATTTATATGAATAAAAAACCTAAACATTTAAAGCTAATAAAAGTAATTCTGAATGTATTAGAAAATAGGAACCTAAACATTTTTCATTTCAATTTATTTTAACTTCTTTATAAATGAGATATTCTGAGGATAGAAATTTCGTGTTTCCTCCAATAATAGGTATCGTTTACGTTCTGTCAATATGGTGCCTCAAATCGTAAATTCACTTCCAAAAATTTAAATATTAATTAAAAATTTTGATAAATTATTATAAGAATGAATCACGAAAAAAATTCAACCGCTTAAGAATAACCCACTTAAGGGTCTTTATAAAATTAACATATTACCTTGAGACTATCAAAGTTCTAGATAATTATGGCCTACACTTGAATTAACCGTAAAAAAAAACCATCGACAATTTTTGGTCCGCGTCAAACGTTTTAATAAAATTTTTTAAACAAAAGGTTCCCAAAACTACTATTAAAGTCATCAGTTAGTTCTGAAATAACAAAAAAAAACTAATCCTACGAATCAATACTTCAATTAAATTTAAAACATTTTTCTTTTGAAACGAATTTATGACCAGTTGAGCGATTTTATCTTTGGTGACTCATATTTATTCAATATTGGATTACATAAATACTGATCATGCACATAGTTATTTACATGAAGACAAGATTTTTCAACAAATTATTCGTAATAATAACGAACTGGAGCTAAGGAACTTTAAAATATAAGTTTTATGAAAAAAAGAGTCTAATTGACAAAAATCACGTGGACATGTCAAACTAAGATTGAAAAATCACGTGTCGAAAAGACTTGTATTGAAAAAGTTCTTCGCTACGCTTCGTACAAAAATTTTTGTCGATCAAAATAATTTTCAGAGTACCATACATTTTCCACTATCACCCACCCGCTTTAATATAAAAAAAAGTTTACCACTTATAAAGGAGACTAGACTACTTGTAGTTAGCTACCTCTATCCGAAGACATGAAGAAAAAAGCGACGCACTATAGACATCGACTCCTTCACAAGAGGGAGTGTAAACACTAAGGAATTGATAGATGATTTCTGTGCTTATTTATATTGAAATTTTTGAAATGTTGAAATTGTGGGATTCAAAGATCTTCATGATCTTCATTATCAAACACTATTTATGGTAATATTTTCATATACTATTAAAATCGAGTTACGAACAATATAAATCATATGATCCGTGACGTATTTAAATAGCATTTCAAAGTTTTTTTTTTTTTTTTATTTTTTTTCGCAACTTTTTACTTTTGTCATTTTTTTTTTAGTTCTTTTCGCGATTTTTAATATTTGTCATTTTTTATTTCAAACATTCAAAAATGGGTAAATCTTCAAACCTTGTACGTAAAAATAAATACATTCGTTATAGACAACAACGAAAATCAAATAAAATTTCTTATCAAAACGAAATAAAAAAAAAGGAAGAAGAAATCGGGGACTTACAAGTAAAAGTCCAAGAACTTGAAAAATTTATCACCGAAGCCGGAGAAACGGTCATGAGGGAAATGACCAAAAAAGAAAACGAGCAAACCAATCTATTAAAATGGATTGAAGTATACACAAACCAGATCAAGAATCTTGAAAATGATCTGTATACACTTAGATTGAGGTCTTATACCCAATCTACACATTCATCCCAAACACAACATTCTTTTTCACCATCACAATCCTCACAACCTTCACAACCTTCACAATCCCTACAACCATTACACCCGTCACCCCCGCAATTTCAAAGTTTGGATGAATATTTCAAATACGAAAATACACAAAAAGCCAAAGGTAATTTTTTATTTTTATTTTTTTATTTTGTTATTTTTTTTTTTTTTTTGATAGAATTTTTATTAATGTAAAGCTCATATTTAGAAAGCGAACAAAAGCATGATTAATTTTAATCTTGTCTTGCCACGCCTCTTCGGCTTGATAATTTATTTGCAAGTTGTATAAAATCACGGAAGCTTGATAACAATTAATAAAAAGTTTATAGCTATCGCTCTTCACTTCCTATTATAACTTAATATTGAATTGTTCGGGTTGAGAAAATTCTTCCCATCATTTTCATTGAGATAATGCATTCAAAGATCCGTTACTCTCTTTATCTTTCTCGTACAGTATTCATGAAGCAGTAATAAATAAGAAATTCATTAAATTGCTGATCCAATATCGCCAATGTAATCCAAAGGGTCGATTACTATTAAACCTCGATTCCATTACTATGTCGGTTTAGAATAAACTATAAATTTATTTTGAAAAATATACTAATGGGATTAAAAATTTTTTCCAAGCCATAAATAATGAATTATAATGTGGCTCTTGAATCAAAATCACTATTACTTACAAAGGAAATTATTCGGGATCTTAAACATATTTATTTTTAACAAATTTAATAAAGCTTACAACTTTTTTTATTTATAAAATTAGGAAAAAAAAATAATAATAATAAAATTGATTAGTGAGCGTTGCCATGAAGAAATGATTTCTACTCTTCATCCCACACGTCCTGGATTTTTTAAATCCTTTAATAACACCTAATCCGATATATTTGTCAATTACTTCCATAATTTCATTTTTCTTTTAAAGGATTTATACTTAAAAGTAATTGATCTTTGTGGGATTCGATTTGTCCAACCTTTAAAGAACGATTCGAATTCCTCTGGAATTAATTGGATAGCCCCACCAAATTTACAAATTTGCGGAAAGTCTTAGGTGAAGGTTTCGCAATGGCCTCCAATATTCCCTTTCACCTAAATAATTATCCCCACACTCGATCCTGATAATTTCTAATCGTTTACAATTCTTCAAAATAACTCCACATGATCACTCATAAATATAGCGTATGATTAAGGTTGGAGCAGAACTTGGCTATAGCATAGTTTAATGTATCATCGCAGGTTTCAATATAAACCTTTCCAAGTTCTTCGCTTAATTTCCAAGAGATTAATTGGATATTCTTGTTTCGGACATTTCTTTTTAAATTGTAAAATTCGTAATTTTGGGAAGGTCGTATATTGTAGGTTTTTAAGATCCGGTATAATCAGTTCTTGCAAATTTATAAAATTGGCAAGAAATAATAATGATTCCTTTTCTATTCCATCAATATTAAAATTTGGTTAAGGTGGTTGAATGCTTCGTTATAAAGGGAATTATATTGACAAACTTTCAAAACAAAATGGAGATAATCTCATGTATACACTTTAAATTTCGTTGAGCCGAGATTAAATCTGATAATCCATCTAAGACCAGATCTTCAAGAGTTGTGTTTAACGTTTGTATGTTGTGACATTATCGAGATAGATGATAAAAAATTTTGTTAATGTCTGAGCATCAGCTAAGATTTTTAAAGAATCGATCGCTCCAGCATAACGAGTGATTGGAATGTACTTGAATGTAACCTCTAGCTCCTTCAAGGTAACTTTGGCTCATAAGCATTTTGAAGATTTCTCGCGTTAACACTATATATTTATTGTAAAAGTTTTGTTGACCGTGTCCAAGAAAATTTTCCATGCTTTTTAATAAATGAAGTAATGGAGGTTTTGAGTTTGAGGTTGGGATGATAATTTTTTGATTCGTTTGGTAGACATTCGATTAAAGTGTTACTTAAAATTCCAAAATGTTTTCGAGCGGAAACCATACACCAAAGTCGATTGACCAACAAGCACGAATGTAGTGAAGTTTTATCATCTTCCAAATGTTCAGATACTTCATTTAAACGGTCGGCAAGAAGTTTGTTAGGCATTTTAAAATTGAATCGTACCATGTTATTATGGATCTGTGGGAATTCTTTATTAATTTGGTAAATTTGTTGAATCGATCTACAGCAAAGACTTGTTCGTCCGCAACATGTCTTCCAAAGATTGGTTCCAAATCCAATTCTTGTATAAAATGCTGGAATCATATAAAAAGGTGAGACACCGTTAACGAATCATTCAACTAATGAAAAACAAAACCTTACACCAACCCTATTAAACATAATAAAGACCGTGCAGAAGCTGATTGAGTCACGTGACTCAAAGTATGGCTTATCATTAAAGAAAGGGCTTATATTTCTTAGAAAACCACTTGCCAGATTCGCATTAAATTTGGGAATTCATACATTCTCTTCCGCACATGAAAAATAGATTAATTTAAGAATTAATTTTAGAATTTGAAAAACAACCAGAAAAAAAAAAAAACTAGAAAAAATAATTCTAGAAATTCCTGTACCATAATTGATTTGTACCAAATTATTTTTACATGTCGCTGCGAAAGAATATACCAATCAACGACAATGAATCCAGTTGAATTCCTTGCATCAACTGAAGAAATTACTGCGATCCCATGATTATCCTCATCGAATTAATATTACGGAAACTTCTCGCAATAATTGCTTGCAACCGGTTTAGTTCCTCGTGTAAGTGAGGAACATTTTCACTAAAAATTAGAGCGAGAAAAGTCAGTAAAATCGAATAAGTATTTGAGCATTTCTAAGGGCGTTTGATAGTCACGAACGACCCAAACATGGGAAAGCAAACAAAAAGTAATTTTTTTAATAAAACTTTTCAAACCTTAAAAATAAAAGTTCATTACTGAAGAAATTCTTTTTTTATTTTTTTTTTTATTTTTTGTGCGTGATTGCGAGAAAAAAAAAAAAATGAAAAAGTATTTTTCGAGTTCTTTACGTATTTCTGATCTGCACTAAAATGTGATTGATTTTCAAAGCCCGAATATCACGAATCATCAAAGTATCTATTGACCGATTCATTTTCTTATAATAATATAAAATATTCGATCACGTGTTAAACCTTCACCGCAACAGCAAAGAAGTTCAATTATTTATAAAACTCATTAATGATCGATCATCGATTCCTGACATTTGCGCAATTTAGTCTCTGACAGAAAGATTATTCGAAATTTGCAAGTTGGTATATTTTAAGATCTAAAGATTATGAATTTTTTTTTTTTTCTGATATTAACGTTAATGTCTAATAGGTTCTCGGTAATTTTAATAATTTTACAGATAAATGCTGCGGAAACTGGAAAAATAATGCAAATTCTTAAACTTTAGTTAATGACGAGATTTATAATGTTCTTTCTGAACAGATCTCAAGATAATTAATAATTTTTTGGTGTTCGGGAATATCATCATAAATAAATAAAAATTTTTATTTTTAAGAATGTCCATATACAAAAAAAAAAAAAAATATATACAAGTATATATATTACATAATAAGTACTTCATTTTCTAAACTATTATCTTCACTTTTAAAACTCTTTGTATCCTCACCAACATTTAACACACTCCCATCGCTTTCATTATAAGTATCAATAGCGACAAGATTTTTAACACTAAACAATTGTCCATTGCTCAATTCTTCTTTAGAGCTTTTCACTTCAGTCCAATTAATACTCTCATTTTCCTCAACATAAAGCTCTTCTCTGGAATTGATTACCTGGAACACCTCATAATCATTCATGATAAAGGTACTACCACTATTAGGGGGTAAAATCTTTTTTTCGTAATATTGCTGGGTACAACTACCGCTAAACCACCAGAGATCATGACCGAATCCGACATTATTCAATTTACATGACATATCACGAATCGAATATCGAGAATTTTGCACCCTACTTAAAATATATTCATCTTGTTCACAAGTATCTGAATTTGCGAACGAAAAGATAAACGAATCGCTCGTCTGCAAATATGTGTCCGATGAACTCCAGCTTAAAGGATTATATCCTCCGATCACGGAAACACTGGCATTAGAACGAATTGTAGAAAAATGACTTGTGGAGTTACTAAGGACACTACTATTACAAATCTCATTGAGATCATCCTCATGAATGCTATCGCAACTATCAACATCATCACTACCGCAAATGTTATTAACTTCGATGACAAGCACTTTAACTAACACTAAGGTTGGACCTTTGTTATCGCATAATTCATGAAAAGTCTTTACGTCCATACCATCTCTACTCCCTCTCAACAGCAATTGAAATTCAACTTTATCTCTATTCTTTATACCGTTCTCGCCCATGTTTATCCACGCGTTCAACATAGCGGCATGTTTGGACGTAACGTATAAAGATTCAATATTATGTTTGGGTAAACGCAGCGATAAATTGTAATTAATACCCAAAGGTGGTAATTCAGTATTTGGCATCATATGAAATTGAGTTAATTGAGCCTTCAATTTCTTTGGTAAAATCTTCTTAAAAGGCCAAACAAATTCGTATAATTTATCACCTGGTATTTGAAAAAATCTTATATAAGGAAGAAAGTCTTTTAGTCGATTCTCCAACTCCATGAAATCCTTTTTCGTCCATGAATCAGCATCACCTGATGTATTAAGTAAAGGGTGTTGATTAATCGCCCATTGTAACAAATATTTCCATATATCAACTTCGCTCAAATCCAAATCATCACGCTTAATTATCGTTAACAATGAACATCTTCCCAATCGTATAAAGGACGGTGTGCCAAATAACAGGGAAGGATTTTCACAAATTAATTGGCTACAGTGGTTGGCTAATAATGAGAAAGTTGTCGAATGTGTGGTGGTAACGTGAAATATGTGTACGAAATTATCGTGTAACCATGATTGTTCGTTATCGATTATGTGTGATTGAATATATTTCACCAAATCAGTTAAAGACAGCTCGTCAGCCGATAACAACAACGGTATAAATAGGTCTTGCATGTCCGGTTCTTTCAAGTCGCATATCCCAGTATAAATGTACCTTTATTTTTTTTTTGTTTTGATAGAAGAAAAAAAAAATTTTTTATAAAAACACCATATCACGAAAAAATAAGAAAAGGAAATAAAGAAAAAATTCTATTATTCGCATTGCACGACGACAACTTACTCTAGTAGTAATCGAAATACGTCTGGATGTATATTTGATTTTTCGAATGTGAACCATTCACCATCTTTTTTTATTTGATCGTTAGAAAATAGATTTTGAAAATATGTAGATCTTGCACGAAGAATTACCGAATGTGCCTTAAACGTTTCTCTTTCGATAGATTCGTCTACTCCTCCGACCGTAATTTGCAGATTATAATCATTCGCTTCAAAATACAATTTACCGATATCTCTTAATAACCCTGACGACAATTCCATCGTAACCTCGTGGAAGAAAGAGATTCAAAGTTTTATGATTCGAGGAAAAAAAGTGACAAGATACTTTTGAGGCTTACTTTTTTTATATGAGGTGATCATGGTTTGATTGGCTGGTTTAGATATGTCTAAATTCTTTTCTTTTTTAGTCGTTATTGTAGGGTGGTGGGGTTGATCGATTATCTGTGCATAATTCTCATTAACCATCATGTGATTGATGTGTCATAGATATGTTATGACGCCCGATGGCATTCATATGCAACTACAAAAGTTTACATAGAATACTTTGACATGAGCCAAAATTCCTTCTTTAATTGCGTTCAAAGAGATAAATTACTTAAAAATAACGTGAATGAATGTACAAGATTTAAATTCATGGAAATTAAATGAATATTTTCCGATCAAATTTAAAATTAAAAATTTTCCTCTTTTTAGAACCCTAAATTAATTTTTATTCATGTACTGCGCCTCGAATCTGCGAAACACCTACCCTTTTGATATCCTTTAAAAAGTAAAAAAAATGGAACCCCTTTCATTTAAATCAATTTCATTTTCACTAAATTCAGTAACTCGGATGAAAAAAAAATTTTTTTTCGTCTAAAATCAACATTGCCCAATTTTACTCCAATCTTTAAACGGTAATCTCACTGCGCCATCAAATGAAACTTTAATTCTCCTTAAAGTTAAATGTTCTAATAAATTAGTAAAGAAGTAAGTACAAGGTGTTTACAAATAAACAAATCAATATTTTAGGATTTCTCAATAAAATAATATACTAAACAAGTTTATATTATGATTAATGTAATTGTTCAAAAGTTTAGTTTAGTATTAGTTTAGGCTTTTATTATTATTATTATTATTATTAATTTTTTTTTTTTTTTTTTTTTTTTTTTGAATAAATAAACGCCCGGATCCTCAAAAAAAATTTTTTTTTTTTTTTTCCCTCTCGCTTAATTTTTTTTTTCCTCGAAAAGAAAAAAATTATATATATTAGACATGTCCCCATTAAAAACAGATAATAATTCTCTTTTGAAGAATTCACCATTGAATTTTGACATCTTACCGAAAATATTTGAACATTTTTTCATTTGTTCACAAACCGAAGATATTAAAATTGCTCACACTTTATTCAGTTGTGCGCTAGTAAACAAACAATGGTGTAATCTAGCGTTACCACTCCTTTGGAGGGATCCGTTTCGATTTACCCTCATCGCAAGGAAGGACTCTAATGATAATGCGGGAGAAATGGTTTCTACGTTATTGAGTTGTTTAACCAGAGAAGAATGTCAACAATTTTCTTCGATTATAAAGAAATACATTCCTAAATTAACCAACATTCCTCCGATATGTAGGAGATACCCCTTCTTTAATTATCCTAACTTTATTAAGAACTTGCATACAAAAGGATTAATCAACTCTGCGTTAAATTGGTTCGAAAATACCTTTAACATAAACGGATTGAACATCACCACTTCTTATTCTACTGGTTCGCTCAAAAGTATTACGTCATTAAACGGATCAAATAGTTCTCTAAGTTTAAATAATAATGATCCTTCCAATTCCGATAACAACATCGCGTGGGACAAAAATGAAAAAAGGATATTTGTAGAACAAATTATTCAATGTTTGTTACAAATGCTCGTCGAAAGAGATAATCATTTTAAAACTGTTTACGTTGAGAAGGTAGAAGGGAACGACAAGTTTTCTTTTACTAGATGTTTTTTTAAAGATCAGTTCGTCAAGTCTTTTAATCAAATTCAAAAATTGGACATACATGAAATGGAGATTACCGGATATCCTGACATGTTAAATGTTTGGAAAGACTTTGTGAGTATCGACAAAAAAAAAAAAAAAAAAAAAAAAAATTATTGGGACGTTTTCTTTCTTTACTGACCTTTCCTTTCACATTTTATTTTCCTCGTAGTCCAACTTAACTTCGCTTTCGATAACGATGCAATGTCCAACAGATAATTATTCAAATCTATCACAAATCTTACAATCTACAAATACGACGAAACATTTACGTAAATTGAAGCTCTATTCCGGAGAAACAAAATACATATTGCCACTTTTATCACCAAAGTACTCTTCATCAATTCAACACCTCATATTTGAAAAGATTCAATTGGATACATCTGACGCTTGGCACCTCTTGTCCAATTTTACTAAATTAAGTAAAATGAAATTCATTCATTGTTGGATTAATCCAATTGATAATAAGCAGCAAATATTTTCTATTATAACCCAAACTCCTATGCAGTTTAATCATCTCAAATTGTTTGTTTGGGTTGACAATGAGGGTAGTGGGTTGAGCTTTGAGGATGATGCTAAGAGTGAACTTGTACTTTGGGGTATGCAACAACATGCTATTGTTGCTTTGGAAAATCTTTGTTTGGAAAACGCTAGAATTTATCATGAATCTATTATTAACGGTAAGTATCTTCTTACTTTATGATGGGTGATTGGGGGATTGGAAAGGAACATGTTTAACAAGATTTCTTTTTTTTTTTAAAAAAAAAATATATATATATACAGGATTATTGGTTCACCCTGTTAAACATCATCGGTATGCCTCTTATACAAGAGAGATAAAAAGATCTTTAAAAATGAAATCATAGTGACGGAGAAAATTTTATTCTTTTAATATTTTATTTCTTTAAAAATGTATATTTATCACATATATAATAAATAATAAAAGACGATGGAATTTTTGTCGTATTAAATTAGGATCTCACGTGCCTTCGAGAATCGGCTAATTATTTATTTGCATGAGTTACATTTAAACTAGGTAATATGTTAACAGTTATAGCCATAATAGGTTCTGTATAGAAATAATTATGTAACGCCTAAATAAATAATAATTAGCCACATTTATGCATTTAACGAATTGCTTTTTATATCGTTATATTAAATTCATGAAATATTTTTATTGGCTAAGAATAAATTCAAAATGAGAGATTAAAATCGGGTTAAATTTTTTTTTTTTTTAAAAAAAAAAATTTCACATGCTAAACCATCAAGATATCGTTTGATTTGAACTTTCAACATATGATAAAACCCATATGATCAATTCTCCAATTTAGGACGCGACAAATACATTTCAAATGAATTCTGCAGTTTTACTTTGGTGGTAAAGATCATGCATAAAAAAAAAAGGCCGCCCAAAAATATCTGAAGTATGGACAATTCGTTATACGTACCTGGACTTTTTTTTTTTTTTTTTTTTTTTTTTTTACTGTTTTATTTGTATATAGTAAATTAAATGATTACAAATCATTATTCCCTTTCAACGTGTTATCAAATTGTAATGGTTTATTCGATACATTTTGTCAAATTTTGAAAGACCCAAATCTTTTAAGATAACCTAGCATAAATTTTTTATCTTTCTAGTCTATATATATATATATATATATAAAATAATAATAATTAATTAATTAATAATTAGAATAATGTAAATACTTGCAGGAATCTCAGGAAAACGTAATTTTTTTTTCATCCGTTGCATAAAATATTTGTTAATGTTCCATTTTTTTTTTTGAGAATTGAATAATAATAACAAAATTATAATTAAATGAACCTTTGTTCAAAGTCATAAGGGAAGTTTGCTAGGCTCTGAGTATTTTATTTTTAAATTTTAGTCAAAAAAATTCTCAGAACCTGATTTTCCTAGCAAACTTCCCATATTATCATCTGATTTTTTGATATAATCAATGGATATTTGTATAATATCTATACAAGCTCGTTAGAGTTTTTTTACGAGATTGAACCATTGAATTTATTCATCGCCAATCATTTCAACCAGATTTTCTTTCCACTTGCCTAATTTTTTGTTGTAAAATTCCATTAGCACGTTCGACTAAACTCTGAGATTGGGATGTCGGATGTCCATTTATAATTTTTATTGATAGCCACCTTTCACAAAATTCTTTTCCGTTAATATAGCTGAAAAAAAAATGAAAATGATATGCAAATATCTTTCACATGGCATATCGATATATAAAAATTCAAAAATATTATAAAATTTAAAATAATATTATGTAAATAGAATATAATATAAATTAATATTTTAAACGAGTTCATAAAGTTTAAAATAATACAATTGCTCAGATGGAAACATATCAAAACTATATCAGATAAGCGAGTAACCCAAATATGCATATAATCGTCAATAGATTCCTAGTGTCCGGGTACAGAAACTATAAAAAAAAAAAATTCCGTTCATAATAATTATTAATTTTAACGGAACGACTTAGATGCTGGTTTAGCTGTAAAAGATGATAATATTAAAAGACTCAATCTATTTTTAACAACGATACCATCGAAAGAATGCCTCATGGTCTAAAACGTGGGCAAATTTTATTTTATTTTATTTTGGTTATGTTCATTGCTTTTACTCTTGTTATTTAATAAAAAAAATTATGATAAATACATAAAAGGAGAACCAAAATCTATAAACTGTAATTAAAATGGTGAAGAAACTTCAAAATAAAACCACCAAACTCGAGTTATATTCTCAAATACGAAACACTGGGATATTAAATAAATGGATCATCAGAACCTAAGGAAATCTAGTATCGCCAGACCTCTTAAAGAGGAACTCTAACTACTTAGCTTTTGGCCCCAAAAACATTCATCTATGATGGAAGGCACTGTCACAACAAGGCTGACCAACCGATCATAAACAAATGAATTCAGGCAATTTCTTCTCGGGCGGGCCACCCATTAGCATTAACCAAAACTCTAAGTCAGATTTCCCGGATAAACATTTGCTTAAGTACACCAATAAGGGAATAGACAGACTGGGAGCCCATTGCCAGCAGATACGGCCCTGTATGTACTAGGTAACCTCACCACTTTCTATTTAAATCCAATTGTACATACAAAAAAAATAAACTCGAGCTGAAAAATGAAGGGAAGTAATAAGGGTCAAAAATAAATGAAACTATTCTAATTGTGTAAAAGAGAAAACAAAGTAACAGTTAGAGAAACATCATCGTTAAGCA